ACGTTCTCGTCGTCTCCCGGAAAGAACTTCGCATGACATTTGTTTGCACGCAAATTTTTGTAGGCAGAATGGCGTATCACATATCGTTTTGTATAGCATTTCATCGCACAGAAATATTCATAGGTGCGGATTTTGCAAAGCGCAGTACTTAGTAATTCCCAGCCACAAAACTTAGTGTACGCAGTTATTCATTACATTTCTTCGTGTGTGTATTTCTTGGTTCCGATCCTTCTCGCGTACGTGATCAGTGGTATAACATGACGTCGTAAACGCCATTGCTCGCATCGCATTTCGCCATAGACATATTTCTTTGAAGCACATTTCTTCGCATACGCCGTCGTAATGTATCCATTCGCGTAACTACATAATCATTCGCCTTGAGTTCCACCTTTTACCGGTAAGAGCCGCAGGAATGGATGAGGGTCCTCAGGAGCTTGGCAGGTCATTTATCGGGCACGCAGGGTCATGTGTCGACGCAGAACATCATGTTATCTACGCTGAGATGATAGGATGATCGTTATGATATAGCTGGCATTGTTGACCTCACGAACTCAAAGGAAAAATTATAGCATGGCCGGGTAACCGAGTAAGGTGGGAAATGACTAATCAACAGGGGAAGAAAGTAGGAACGGGAACGAACTACCACACAATGTGGAGGCATAAGCGAATAGAGGGTGAACATTTACTTTTCGGGCAATACTCATACGACACGGACTGCATTATGAGCCATGATATCATCAAGAGCTTTTATGTCCACATTCAAATTGTTCGAACCTGTGGAATGCATAGACTGATTGGCATCGGAGTCCACGTTAAGCGACGTTGTTACGTGGACTCCTGACCTCTGCCGTCTGGTCGTTGGATTTCCAGGTCAATGACAAAATTTGGTGGCGAATAGTTAACATGCAGCAAAATTGGGTGGCGAGAGTTTAACAAACCGCAATATTTGGCATGGTTCTCCTCACCCTCTGACGTCACCTGAACTTTAGCGCAGCCGCCGCCACCGTCCGCAGACCATCCCAATCCAGGGCAAATAACAAACGCCTAAAGGGACTCAAATATCCCGTGACGGGTGGGTGGATGGGAACGCAGGCGCTCTAACCAACTGAGCCACGGGGACGGATGGACGCATGCAGAAGAACAACGTCGAATTCTGCACAGCAATGAGGAACACAGCTCACTCCATGCCGTGCTGCGCACGCACGTGCTCTTCCACCCTCATCCTGGTGCGTGCCGCTCCCTCGTCGCTGGCGACCAGCATCCAACAAATACGGCCGTTCGGCTGATCGCCGGACGTGACCTCCCAGCCGACACGGTACACTTCCTGTTGACTGAGCCCACGGTCGTCCTTAACTGGGGCACATTTGGCAGGTTTTCTGCACAGCCCATATGAGGAATTCGCATCCTCCAGCGGCATGAGCCTCTCGTCACCATAATGTGCAGTTGCCATAAATGCCAGATATGCCACTGTAAATGCCATATCTGATCAGAACGGTACATCCGGTACATATCCAACATTGCGGTACACTTCTGACAGATAAGGAATTAGCCGTTCCGTCTCACCTTCCGGTGATGAGTGCCCCAGGTCAAGCTAGCTGCCCCGGGCATACTGCCAGTGGGGTTACCCTTTTGTGGAGAAGGTCACATGTCAGAGAAGCTCCGTGGGAGCTTCCCAGTAAGCTGCAATCGTGTCCTATCAGGAACGCCTCGACCTGGCTGGGCATACAGATCTGGTTTGGCGGGAGTGTCGGTTCCAGCAAAGGTAAAGCTTATTTCATCATTTATCCCTCATATTCTTTTCCCCCTGAGCTCAGCAGGCCAGGGGGGACTGCCCAAGTCGCTCACGCTATGTCTTGGACCGACGCTTTCACTCTACCCATCACCTGGACAACGCCTACGCGGCTTTTGCTGGTCTCGAATTGACGGAGTAGAGGACAGGCAAATGCCCCGAATTTGTGCTTTGTGGCATGCGTTAGCCTTTCGTTATTCCTTCGACTATCTCGACCGCCTGCATACAAGTATCGGTTTTTCCCCTCATCACCTCGAATCTCTAAATTGTTCGGAATACCACATACTGTGATCCCGCTTTTCCAGGATACCTAAGCTCGTTATCCAGAACTTGGGCTGATTGGAATATTTTTCAACACACCTACGTGCACTCAAATACAGATCTTTCTCTGGAGAAAAAAGTTCCGTGGCAACAATTCACATTACTGCGATTTCATGAGCTTTGTGCAAACAGTAAGCATTCACCCGGAACCAAGACGTCTGCTCTCAATGCTGCGCATTTCATACGATAGACTGCTCTCGCGAAGATACGATTAAAAAATAAAGCCGTGAACTGGGGGATTCAATTTAAAAACATCCGCTGAGTAACTGTGTGTGCGATTAAATCAAAGATGAAGAACGAGGCATGCAAGAAATATTATATAAAAAGTACAATGCGAAGAAGTGCGTATGGGAGGGAATGCATTGTGAGGAAGCGCGACGCGAAGCAAGGCGATGCGAAAAATGGTGTGTACCAAGGTTTGACAAAATAAAGATTAGCGGGTACTAATTCTGCCAATCCCAATATTCGCGTACGAAAATTTGTCTTTGTGGGTATGCGATAAAATACTTGCGTACGATGATTTATTAACGAGGGTTCGCGACACAAAAACCTTCACACATCTTTTGTTCTTGCCGCAGCGCGTGCGCCCCCCCCCCCCCCTCCCCTCCCTCAGCCTGACGACGTGACCAGACGGGGCTGTGCCGGCCGGGAGCAGTCGGCCTGGAGACGGTGGGGAGGGGGGGGGGGGGATTGCCTCCGGAGGGTTCGAGCGAGCATAATACAAGCCCGCACCGACGAAACTTGTGCTCGCTTGGGATCCGATGGGAATGCAAAGTTCAGATGCCTGAATGACTAGGGCATCGATGGCTGCAGATGCACCCGGCAGATAATTAGGAACGCGACATGCAAGTTAAGCAAGCACGAAACCGCAGCAGACTGAGGGAACGATAATTCTACTGAACATATTTTCCAGGGATGCCGCACATCATCCATACACGCCAGTAGCACAACATTCGGCCTATCAGGCGGCGGCGGCGATGTTTTTTTTTGCGAGTGAGCTCGGATTCATGGAGGTTTGCCCCGTGGGATCGCGGGTGAGCCCGGATTTACGGAGGTTTGCCCGTGCGGTTGCGGGTGGGCCCGGATTCATGGAGGTTTGCCTGTCGGATCGAATTCCCACGTCACGCATTAGCTTCACCTGACCGGAAAAGCTGAGCGCAGCGGGCTGAGACGCCAGGTGAGGTGAACTGCTGATGCAGACAGGTGTATACTGACGGAGGACGCCGTAAGCTGCTGATGTAGACAGGTGTATACTGACGGAGGACGGCGTGAGCTGCTGATGTAGACAGGTGTATACTGACGGCGTGCACGTGCGTGTGCGTCTGTCACATGCACTTCGGCAATTTTCCCAAATTGCGCGAATGTCAAATTTTCTCCGAAATCCCGCGAATTTGCGCCGAAATCCTGCAAAATCTCTCAGTCGCTTAAAAGCGCCACCATTATTGAGCTCACATCACGCAGCCAGGACATCATCCAGCGAAGTCGCCGGAAAACGCACAGAATCGCTCCGAATGTCCCGAGCGCTAACACCATGTCTGTTTGTTTTCGGTGGGTAACGTGCCAGGCACGCGGGCTCGCCCGTCCGTCACACCGGCTCACAGAGGTGCGTGACCTCTAGCCGACGTGAACGCCGCTCCCATTGCGTACGCTCCCCTCTCCGTCCCGCCCTGCCCGAGCCTAGGGGGGGGGGGGGGGGGGAGGGAGGGGGCGCCGTCCCGGCAGGCCGGGGGCGCGGCCGCCGCCGGTGCAGGGGGACCGACCACAGCCCGCCGCCACCGCCCTCGTTCACTGCGCGCCGACACAAGGCCGGTTCGCACGGCGGCGGCGCGGGGTTCCGGTGCGGCGCGGTTCCGCGCGGCCCCGGTGAGCGGCCCCGGGTCGCCGCCGCGCCGCTTCCTGTGTCCGCCGCCGCCAAGGGTCGCGCCTATCAGAGCGCCGGAGCGGACAGGTCGGTTGGATCACGGACCGCATGGCGGCGCGGCGGGCGCGCTCGGCTGCGTCGGCGGCGGCGCCGGCGCGGCGCCCAGGCCGGGCGGCATCGGCGCCGCGCAGGGCGACGCGGCACACGAGGGGCGCCAGCAGGCTGTTGCGTGTTTGGACTTCGCTTCCTACTGTCATGAGGAAGAATTGGCTTATAAACAGCAGCTATATTTACACCTTCCGCAATGCGGGTGTACTTTTGCCCTGCTTCCCTGGGTCTTTACCGCTTTTGAGGTAACGGACGTGGCCATGGTTCTGAATTGCAGTTTAACTTACGTTGAAATTATGCACGGTATCTGTTCGTTATTCGGGATGACTTCAAGAAAACCTAAACTAGTGATGTCCTTTGGGCTATAGCTTAGCTAGGTAGCAAGTAGCAAGGCTGTTTCCCGTAAATCGGGGAGGTTGTGGAAACCTGCGAAGGGCATGTCATGCGTTTCATATGTTCGTCCATTCCATGCCTCGCTATTTTTGTCCAACGACCACGGCGCCGTTTAAAGCGATCTCTAAATGTTTCCTGCTTGTTTCAGTCACCGAAAAGAGAAAACCCTTTTGAAAGTCACCATTGTGGTGAAACTACGCGGCAGCTCCAATCACGCGCGGCGGCGCCTTGCTCTTACTCTTCACCTGATGAGCTTCAGCAGGCATCAATGACGCAGTGAGAGCCGGCCCGAAGGCTCGACCGTCGCCGCCGCCGCCGCCGCTGCCGCCTGGCCCGCCGCCGTGATATACCAGCCGTCTGTTCCGCTGTGTTTCAGAGCCGTGTCGGCCGCCCGAGCCGACCGCAGCCGGCCGCGGCCCAGCACGCCGCCGCCGGCGTGACGCACGTGGCGCGTGACCACGGCGCCGCCGGCCGTGGCGGTCACCGGCGGCCGCCGCGGGTGACACGCGGCGACCAGAGCCGCCTCACCTGCCACGCCGCGCGGCTGAGACCCGGCTGTTCCGCCGCGGACCGGACCCTCACCCGCCGCCGCGCTGCTCCACTGACCGGCCGTCAGGGCACGTGACCTAAGTGGTGACCTGAGTGGCGACCTGAGTGGTGACCTGAGTGGCGACCCGCGCGTTAACCTGAGCCGCCATGGTGGTGTACGGCTCGCGGCTGGTGCAGCTCGCCAGGCGCCGGGACGGCTCGTTCGGCTTCAGTGTGCGCGGCGGCCGCGAACACGGCACCGGCGTGTTCGTCAGCCAGCTGGAGCCCGGCTCGGACGCCGAGCTGCACGGCCTGAAGGTGAGCCCGGCCCCCGCCGCCGCGCGGCAGACTAACGGACGCCCGGATCCAACAATGGGATGCCATTATGATGCGCTGCCGCCCGCGGCCGCCGAGCCGAGCCTCGCTGAAAGGCCGAATGCAGGACGACGTCGGTGGCGTCCGGTAAGAGCGGCGGTAGTCCAGGTCGGCGGCGGCATCTAGTAAGAGCGACGGTAGTCCAGGTTGGCGGCGATGTCCGGTAAGAGCGACGGTAGTCCAGGTCGGTGGCGGCGTCCGATAAGAGCGACGGTAGTGTCCAGGTCGGCGGCGGCGTCCGGTAAGAGCGGTGGTAGTTCAGTTCAGCAGCGGCATCCGGTAAGAGCGGCGATAGTTCAGTTCAGCCGAGGCGTCCGGTAAGAGTGGCGGTAGTTCAGTTCAGCGACGGCGTCCAGTAAGAGGTGCGGTAGTTCAGGTCGGGGGCAGCGGCGCGGCCGCGGGCACGTTTGTCCCCTCCCCTCCCCTCCCCTGCGCGGCTCGCTGCGTCTCGGCGCGGGGTTCGTGACGTGACGCTTTCTTCTCACGGCCGTTTGGCAGGGTGAAAAGGTGATTCGATTCGTGTGCCGCCTCCGTCGCGGCTAGTGTTACGTGAGTTTGCAGCCAAGCTGAGACTGGTGCCGGTGACGTTGGCAGTCGTTAGTGACGTCATTAATGAATGGGTGCTACAACGGATTGTGAACGTGCTTGGGTCGTTGCGTCGAGTCAGATGTGTCCAATGAGCCATCGCGTCGTAGCTGAAGCGAATTGGAAGATCAAGCAATTGAAGCGGCCGGGCACGATCAACGGTTTGCCAAACAGCACGTCTTCCCAGGGGCAATGCAAGGTCACCCAACTTAGAACTGACGCCGCCACAACTTATCAAACTCTCAGTTCTCACCAGACGCTAGATTTTCAGTCTGTAGGGGCAGCGCCTGCCCGCTCCGCTGCTCCGACATCCAATGGCACAAGCTGCGCCGTGCCTCGTTGCACTATGCGTGCCCGAATCAGCTCGGGGTACATCACGTGCCACCCGGGCGGGAAGTGGCCGCCAGAAGGCAGGAGTCAGCCTCGTGCCCGGCACACAAAACGCCGCCGGCTTCGTGCTCCACTCACCTCGACCGATCGTGCGCCGTGCACAGTGAGCGCTCGCGCGGCGTGCACAATGCCGCCGTGCACAAGGCCGCGGTGCACGGTCGGGCCCCACCTGCGGGTCCGCGCCGTCCCTCGGCTCAGGCGTGGTCACGAAGATCACGCCGAAGGATCGGCCACACGCGAGCCGACCTGTGGTGCGCACGCCGAGTGTCCGGCCATTGCACAATCCTCGTGCTCCGATGCGTGCTCTCGGGCCCGCGCCTGGACAGAGAAGGCGGCTGTCCCGCCCCTTGCACTCGCCTTTGTCCAGCCGCTCCCCTCCCCACACTGTCCAGCCCGATCCTCTCCCCTACTGTGCAGTTCGCTCACCTCTCCAGTCTCCCGCTCTTCCTCTCCTCACCCTCTGCAATCGTCGTTGAATGCCGCCCGATTTCCTTCCCTGCTATCCTTCTTAAGTCTGCTGCTGCACCCCTTGCTGCGCCCTGCTAGCAGGTAGATGAAATCCACTCTGCTTGTATTCTCTCCCCTCTTTATATTTTTTCGCTTCCCCCCCATCCCCCGCTGTCCTTCCCGCTGTCCTTCCGCACTGCCGCCGCCGTCCTCCCCTGGTCCTTACCTGCTGTCTTCTTCCGTCTCCCACTCCCCACTCCCCTCTCTCCCACCCTCCCCTGCCGCTACCCTTCCGCTGCCCTCCTCCCCGCTCTCCCCTGCCGCCGCCCTCCTCCCCGTTCTCCCCTGCCGCTGTCGTGCTCCGCGCTCTCCGCGCTCTCCGCCCGGCCGTGCGGCGTCGGACCGCCACGGCTGGCTGACCGCTGACAGGATGCCCGGTCTGATCACATCAGCCGCTGGCGGCCCGGCCTCGGGGCAGCACGGCGGCGGCGGCGGCGGGGACAGGCGGGATGGCATCGGACACATGCGGACGGCAGCCGACGACGGCTGATCGTCGCCGAGCTGGGTTGGACTGAACTGGTCTGGTGACCGGACGTTCTTGAGGCTGCACCGACTGCGGAGGAGATAGGGGGCAATCTCATGGGGCGACCTGGTCTGTGCGCTAATGCACATAATCCGCAGGGCTCCCTTCCGTGTTGAAGATTCGTGATTATATTAGGCATGAATCGGAAACGGTTACAACATTTTTCACGGTGTATATATAGGCTGGTCTTTGTTGAGTTTGCCGATAGCTGTCTTCAGCGGATACATGGTACGATCGATGTCATCTGCGAGGAAGGATTAATTGGTCGTCATCAGGTCCGACACCACGTCACTAGAATCCCCTCATACGCCCCCTCCCCCCGCCCGGTGACCGTTAATGGAGGAGGGCACCGACCCGGCCGGCCGCTGCAGGGCGGCACTGCAGCCAGACACCGTGACCTGACCTCTCACCGTCGACACCATTACAGAAGCGCGGCCCGGCGACCGAGGCTTGCGTCATTCGTCACGTCTCGTGGGCTACGTTCATCGCTATGTTACGGGACAACGACATATGTGACGCATCGCAAAGCGTGGCACGTGTTCTGAACGCCACCCGTCGTCACCATGCGTTACTTTACTGCGTGCGAATTCTGCTGAGGTGTGAGCCAAGACGTCCAGTTCCACGCGCGTCACGGTGTGCAAAGTCCGACCAAAGAATATCATTGAACGCGTAGTTTGTCCACGCTGGAATTTCGTGCCAATGTCTGGAAGACTCAAGCCACTGCGCTGGTGTCGAGAGAGGCAAGCCTATTTTCTTGTCTTGCCCCACAGCTCTTGACAATGAATGGTATGGTTTCTTCACAACAGCTGTGATTTGCTTTTGCATCCTGGCTTTTAAAACAACTTGGTATTTCAGTCAAGCGCATTGATACTCTTCTTGCAACATCTCATCTCCGCGACTTCAACTGTAGGAAACATCTTTTTCCGTTCGTCGCGACCATCTGATCACCTTCACGAGACAGATTGAGAAAAAGGCATACCACTGGAAATCGTGCTGAGCATAGCGATATTAGGTGACTAGGTTCGCTGCCTTCAGACGGGCAGACCAGTGGTACGTTTCGTCAGGTCGGATATTATTACCAGAACACTTTACTCCTACAGCGAGCACTTCCGTGCATTTGTCAGTGCACCGAACTTCCATGCGATTACCGCAAACCGATGCTAACACGATTTCTCCGGGGAAACCTCTTCTATGTCTGAGCTCGATTCACATTAGATAAGATCTATGAAGCCAGTCCCCCAGAGGCGATAATTCTCAAACTGCACGGAACCAACAGCGCCTATAGTGTGCGAATATAGCACGCCGTCGCCGTTCGGTGATGTGTTAATTCAGTAGATAACCGCAACAACTCTCTATGGGAATAGACGTAGAGCGAGCTGTAAGCCGCAAGTGTTCCTCCACGCGCCGTCCCCCGGCAGTTTGCGGCATCCATTATACCGTCTCCCCCTGTGTCGGCGTTTTTCCTCGCCCGGCACCGCGTCTTCGATGGCACGGGCCGGTACCGTGTCAGCGGACCAGACTGGCGGCCGCGATGGGACACCCTCCCCCCCCCCCCTCCCCCTCCACGTCTGTGCCGCGCTCAGCCGCCATCGATCGCTGCAGGCTGGAGCAATTGTCATAACCCCAAGACGATGCTGTTGAAAATCGTCTGGTAAAATTGACGTTTGGTGATCAAATACGAGCACTCTGAAGAGGACGACTTCACAATGAGGAAATTCGACCGTAATGATCTCACTGGCTTAATGTGGCGTATTATGAAATCAGAGCCGTTGATCTAAAAAATCCATCCTTGGTCGAGAATTCTGCATCGTGATTTACTTCTTTAGCTAAGACCGCGGAAAATCAAGCAGGCATGCGTGCTTATTTATCTAAGACATCAATCAATGGACTAATGTAGTTGTGCGGAAGGATAAAGACAATGTATTAGTACCAGGAATAAAGTAATTGTTCGGACTATGGTCTTCGTCTCGTCCCAATCAGATGAGAGCATCCCCAAACACGCCAGACGAGAACGATGGTCCGAACGATTTTCCCACACCTGAACTCATATTGTTCTTCAGCTCTCGCACTCACGGTATTCTCGCCTGCCTTTGTTGTTCGGAGGATGCTGTATCTCAGCAATACGGGGCTTATTTTCCGTCTTCCTCCACCGTGCAGTTTACCTGTGAGTACCGCTCCACCAGAGGAAGTGCCGCGTACTGACGTTGCCCCTCCCCTGTACCCGCCAGGTGGGGGACGAGGTGCTGCGTGTGAACGGCCTCTCCGTGCAGAACGCCACCCACCGCGAGGTGGTGGGCGTGATCAAGAGCAGCAGCTTCGTACAGCTGCGTGTCCGAGGTAAGACCAACTGGATACACTGCGCTGGCCTCGCCTGAGATAAGCCTAGTTCTTTGAAGTTGTCAAAATATGTGCCAAATATGAATATTGTGGTTCAAATGAACCCCTTGGGCATTCATTCTTTTCTCATGGATATTCATTCGTGCATTCTACATCCTCTTATCCTCTGCATGATTACTTCGCAGTTCACATCCGTGCATATTTGTATTCACAAACACATCCAAACATTCTTATTGCCCACTGCCGTATGGTACACGCATGCAGATTAACAATTTTGTAGCCATGTTCACACGCCTGTCCAGCATTTTTGTTATTTTAACGCATGCACATAAAATACAAATATAGAACACAGTGACAAAGCAGCGCGATGCATTGCACATTTAACCTTTCATGTACTACACAGTCATGAACGCGTCACGCTATGGGAATATTAAGGTTGACCATTCCACTTCGGCCCTGGCGTCATAAATCTTAGCATCTCCGTCTGTTCTGCTTCCCAGCGCGACATAAACAATCTGGAGCTCACGAACATAAATTAGTGCCTCGCGCCAATTGCCCTCCCCCCCCCACCCCAGCAGTGGCTACACCGATCTTGATATATTGCTCAGGGACAACATCGGTGCTCGCATGAGCCAAAATCACTTGCCCCCCCCCCCCCACCCACCTTAAGCCCCTCCCATGGGCCCGATGTGCTGGCCGACATGGAAGCTTTTAGTGGGGTAGATTAGATGTCGGCTATTGGACCGCTTGGCAGTCTCCCGACATCACCTGATTATGTTTTCCGGGGCGTGGCTGATTCTCGTGGTAATGACAGTGCCACTCGGCGCTCCTGCTGGACGGGATGACCCCACTGCCTCGTGGCGCGTGCATGCTAGCGGAGTATCCCTGTTCTCAGCAAACAGCGGTTCAAACCACAGGCGACGCCAACGTGCAGCTAGTGTATCGACACCACACCCACACCAACCACACACAAACCCACACACACACACACACACAACCCACACACACACACACACACACACACACACACACACACACACATATATATATATATATATATATATATATATATATATATATATATCATAAAAGCACGTCTTGAATTTGATTATGCAGCATACAATTTTTTGTTCTTTATGCCTCCAGTATGTGTTTCGTAGAAATATAATGAAATCCGAACTTTTGTAGTCGTACTGTGTGTGACCGCATGTCTGTAGTCTAATTTTCCTCTGGAGAATGATCGAAACGTTGACAAAATATACGATGTTTGGCGATATTATATGTCAAGACGGGGTGACCATCGATCTTACTCTATCCTGGGAGGAGCTCATATCAATATTAATTAAAAAGTGGAACTCCATCCTGTTTTTAATATGCAAAATACATCATCATCTCACATCCGAAGCCCACAAACTCTTCATCCAAGTCCGTGTTTTCCACATGCCCTGTACCGCCTCTCAGTTTGAGGCGGGGTCGCTGCCAGCTATCTCGGCCAGGTGTGAAAAAAGTGATTTTCGCGACCAGGATTGTCTCGGGGGCACAGGGTCGAGGTCATATTGCACCGGTCGTAAGGTCATTGGGCCGTCACGGAATCAGTGACCTTGTTACGTGCCGAGACCACATTGGCATCCTCAGCGCCCTAACTAATGACCTCCGTGCCCCGATGGCGATCCGGTCGCTGTTCACCCCTCGGACCGCTGTGAGTGAGCACATCACAAGGTCGGCTGTGGCTGGCGCCTTTGGAGCTGCCCTCTCTCCGGCTGTCTATGTTGCGTAGGATGTTTCTATATCATGCGGCCTCGTCCTGGAAACACCTGCCGCCGGCCGTCATGACTTCCCGGAGCCGTGCTGCGCTCATATCTAAATTTGACTAATGTGAAAAAGAGGGTTTTGTTAGACTTCCTCAGGCGTGTTTTGTCGTGTTTTCATCGTCGCCGCATCTTCTTCTTTATCGTGTGGCTTGTAACCCATTGACTCGAATCAAATATTAACACGCGCTCGGGTGGGGGTCAAATTACCCCCCCCAAAGGTGTTTCCAAAATGGTTTCCGAAAGAGGCGGCAGAGCCGCGCCAAATTTGGCACAGCTGTAAACAATTAAATAGCGGATCGTTTGGCATCAAACAATTAGGTGCACCTTGTAAGGTCGCTAACCTATGGCAGGTGAAAGTTAGGCCATGGTTTCAGCGAAGGCAATTTCTAGAGAATCCTTCAATCTGATCCAACAACGAAGTGTTAGACGAAGCCATACATCTCTGAGATGCTTTCTTAGGCAACACAAATATTGAACAAGCGAATTACGCTGACCTTAGGTCAGATATGAAGGTCAGACCAAGGTCAAAACCAACCTGTTTGATTACTCTAGGACTTGATTTATGGAATCGTTTCTGGTAATCATTTATAATTTATTGATAGCGGGAGACGCATTGTACATCTTGCATGGACTTCTTAGAGGTCAGAATATGTCATTGACCTAAAATGACCCGTGTCAACATTTTGTTTTAGGAACATACTGACTAGCATAATCTTTGTCGCTTAGTCAAATGAAAAATTCAAAGCAATCTTGCATTGTTTTGGTCACCTTGACCTTAAAAGTCAAGGTCACTGACCTTGAATGAACATGTGACCTTTTGCTTTGAAGCGGAAATCTAGGCTCCGGGGGCACTTTGGAGACCAACCTGGAACTTTACCTTGTTTGACCTTATTTGACCCGAAGGTCATGACCTAGGAATCTGCAACTTAGACCTAAGTGAGTTTATGTACAGGTCAACACACCCTGTAAATTTTCGGTCTCTGGCTTTCTTAGTTCCTGAAATCTCAGGAGGGTCAAATTGACCCCGCCCATCACCCGAGCGAAGGGTATCTAGTCGGCCACCCGGGTGCGTGTTAAGCGGTAAATATGAAACGATTTGTAGTAAAGACATGATATTTCAACGCACCGAAACGTTAAGCGCACCATACAGTACCACTAACAAATTGCCAAGTGGGTCACAAACGCTGAATTTTTGTGTGACGTACAACCAACAATGCATGCGAGGAAACCCTCCCCGGTTGTTTCAATAGATACATACATTCATATCTATCTATCTATATATATGTTGCATGCATACATATCTACCTACCTACACATTACACACACACACACACACACACACACACACCACACACACACACACACACACACACACACACACACACACACACACACACACACACACACACACACACACACACACACACACACATACATATATATATATATATATATATATATATATATATATACAGGTATGCAAAGGCTGTTGTAAATGGCAGCATACTAGTTGTGCAATATCTTCTTATTCAAGTTTTTGATCTTAAGAACACACTGCCTGTCAGGTGGCTCAATGAGATGTGTGAAATGTCCCAATGCTTGCCATAATTGGTCCGAGATAGGACGTCATCAGACAATGACAAGTAACGACAGTATTCAAATAACTGTGTATTGATGTTATCTACATAACGCCCAATAAAATCCCCGAAAGACTTGAATTTGGTAATGTCGATCGCAGAGAAAATTCACAATGGACCGATCACGGTGGTTCGGACAAAACAATACGGGGAACTCGTTCCGGATTCCCGAAGGAACCCTCAGCAGGAAAAATCATCCCATTCTGGCAGCAGACGGCGGGCCGTCGAACGAGGGGAGGGTGTCCTTCCGTTGACCTGGCGGCTGATGACAGGGTCGTTGTCGCGGATGTATACTGCTTCCAGAACTTGGAGCTTCCACCTGTCAGAGCAGCTGGCGAGAATGTTGGTGTTATCAATCATCAGCTGGCTACTCAGTTGGCTACTGTGGACCTCCTTGAGATGGCGACTGTGGCCTCCATGTTGCAGGTGCATCGTAATGCGCCTGCCGAGGGTCCTGGTCGAGTGGCCTATGTCGGTGCTATTAGGACGGTGCGCAGCCACCGGTATTGCAGCGAAGCTGGTATAACAGACGGGTCTTGGAAAATCTATTCTTCATAAGATGGCCAGTCGCTTTAGAGCTCCGGAGAAGATCACGAGCTTTATTTTGTCTTGAGGCTGAACAGGCTAGCAGTTTTTGGACACGAGCTTCTCTAATCTTCTCATCTTTTTTTTGGCTGCTGTCATGTAGTTCTCGTAGAAAAGGGAGAGTGGCCACCCCGATGGTATCTCACCCGTGAGGCTATGCTGTAGCTGAGCGTACTGCTGCATTTTGATCCGGTCTTCCGTTTCGACCATGCGGATGCTGTGCTCGTCAGCAAGAAGTCAGTATACTCGCTGGAGTTCTTGATGGACCAGCGGTCGTGACGAACAGTGCTTAAGCGCTCTGTGAGCGTACGCCCTTGCAACATCTCGTTGGTATCCTTTGGGGCAATCGCTCCTTTCGTTCAAGCAATCCCAGTTTATCGGCTTACGGTAGACTTCAGTATCATATTGCCCAGTCGATGCATCAATACTTACGTCCAGAAATGTAGGTAGCTTGTCTGCACTTCTTTCAATGATAAAGCTGAGGCTGAACGCACCTTCCAGTTCGTGTATCATCCACAGCAGATGCTCGTCGTCGCGTACATCGACACAAATGATATAACAGCGGATGTGAATGGCTGCAGTTCCATCTTGCACCCCGGTGTGTGACATGAAGGCTCAGGTGAAGAGCACGCCCATGGCGACGCCATCTTCCTGATAAAGCAAGTTGTCTTCCGCAAGTCGGATCGGTGTATTTTTCCTGCAGATTTTGAGCATTTGACCAGCGGTCTCTTGATGCAGCGAGCGGTAACAGGTCAGGGTGCTTATAAATTTTGTCCACGATGATGTCGATGGTTTGATCGATGGGAACATTGGTAAACAAGCTCTGGACACCCAGCGATGCCAGAGATCGAAAGAGGTCGGTCGCCAAGTGCTCGCAATCCGCAGGAATATATATATATATATATATATATATATATATATATATATATATATATATATATATATATATATATGGTTGGAATATGGTTCTCGGTTAATGGTGACGGGTATAGAAATGTGAAAATACACCAACAAATTAAGGAAACACACCTTGAATTAAACACGCCTTAAGAAAAATAATCTCCGAGGTCTGGTATTTCTACTCACGAATAAATAAAGACTGAATGAACTTCTCCAACCCTATCTTCCAACCGACCACAGTCACGAATCAATCGATGAGATCATTGAGACATTGGGGGCCAGACAACCGGCAAGCACGCTAGCGCACGCAGACTTGGATAGATTGTTCACCAGTGCGCCCATAAATGCCACGGTACGGATCGTCTTAAACAGAGTGCATCGCGATTCGGATCCTATCCGTACAAAGTTTTTTACCACTGTGTCGGTGCATGCCACGCTGAAGATCGTCTTAAACAGAGTGCATCGCAATTCGGATCTTATCCGTACAAAGTTTTTCACCACCGTGGCGGTACATGCCACGCTGCAGATCGTCTTAAAAGAGCGCACCAATCTTAAGATTTTCTTCCCTTAAGATACCTAGAAAAACACTAGAAAAGCCGGTTCTGTGACCCAGAACTGTACCGCCAAAGGAATGGGATAACTGGATTCCCACAAGGACAATTATTCGTCGACGTCTACATGTGTGCAGTTAAAAAGGATACAAAAGTTTCCCTCCAAGTATCCATTGCAGGTACTTTACGCTATTTTTGTCGTAAAAACGAACATTAGAAACACCTGATCGAATGCTGCCAAGCCCATTCTGTTCTTAATTTCCGGCGTTGGAAACCAGGTGCCTCTTCTGGATCTTCCTCCTAATGCTTCGACCATGACCTTTCGGTGAGCCTTGTCGATCGAAGAACAACTAAAGCAGAGAGCAGTCTAAATGCGTTTATTGAATTTCCCAAACGATACAATAGGGTCAGTAGATACCAGGGGGCCGCTACTGCTCGTGCATGCGACTCCTTCCTGCCGTCGTCCACCTTAGCCACGAGGCCCGAACCGCTGCAGTCCGACGCTACTTCGATGCGCGAGGAACATCGTGTCTCCAATCTCCTTGGGGTGTTGCGCTCTCTGCGCTCCTCGCTTTCCGGCTGCGGTGAGCGATTGGACGCATTGCCCCAATCTGTGCTCACTCGCGGAATGTGTATCAGCCTCGTCATCAGATCTCGAGCCCGCCGTAATCAGATTATGCGGGGATCGGAAATAGAGTTGCTGGGTCCGCAAAATGCATCTGAAACCGGGAAAGGCCACCCAGCGTTGAAACCTGGGCATTTCCGTCGTTTCTGTTGCTCCGTTGTTCAAAGGTCTGATGCCCTGACCAAGGTGTAGCAGACGTGTAGACTCGCGCGCCAGTGCCTGTGCCTAGGTGCCTACTTGTGCCTGTGCCTGTGCCACCCACCAGACAGTCACCTGTCACCCAGCTAATAAGCGCGGCCCGTGTGGATGTTCTGTCCTCCTGCACGCAACAGATGTACAAAGTTGGGGATACACAAATACAGTGATATCACATTACATTACAGTCAGTCATATTCAAATACAGTCAAATCAGTTCATGAGGGGGAGATATGTTAAGACACGGATGCATACAAATGCATGCTGTGATATACAGATACAGAAGTGCAAAGCGATGCCTTCCAAAAATCATTGCGAGGCTCCGACAATGATTTTGGGCATGTCAAAGGCCATCACTTCCATGAATCATTATAAGCCCAAGGCTACAATCTCTAATTTACTGAAAGGGTAGCAAACCCCATAGCAAGCTGAAACTTCGCGAAAGAGATTTCAGACGTTTTAAGCAACAGAACGACATAAGCAGATATATATATATATATATATATATATATATATATATAATACATGTAAGCAAAGCAAATGTGAAGGCACGAGGATGCATCAGCATGGCGCGATCTGCAAACAAATAAGTGTCTCGGAACGCTCCCGTATTTGTTTTTCTGACCTTTGGTGCCTATTTTCAGATGTCGGGCTGCTGCCAGTTAAAGAGTAAGTAGACTTAAAGTTCGGTGGCTTGCGAATTGTAGCGCACTATGGGCGTGTAACAGTGGTGTCCTTGCCTCGGGAGATATTCTCTCATCTCTGTGTGGAGAGATGCTATGATGTGTTGTGTGGAAACTCTGCATATGCTCTCGGGTGGGGATCAATTTTAACCTCGTACACTCCGAAAGCTTCCCTGGAATAATTTTGGCCGGCGCGACGTAGCCGCGCTAAACTTTACATAGCTGTAGGCAATTGAATCGGGGGTCATTTTGTATAAGACGAAACACATTTCATAGAGGCGCTAGCCCATAATTGGTCTAGGTAAGGCTATTGTTCTAGGCGAAGGTATCTGAAGGCCATGGCTTAAAAGTGTCGCAGCATTTCTCTAACTACATCAGGCAATAGTCGTAGCAGGAACAAATAAGAAGATGAAACAGGTGCTCTCAGCAATAAAAGAGGAAGCTCTGACGCTCGAGAAATGTTTGGTTCAGTCTGGCACCTTGAAGAAAAGAAAGAATGGTTTCTTATATATCAAGCGTCTCAAAACAAAACTAACGACGTATGGCCTTGTTGCTTTGAAGAAGCAGCTCTCGCTCGTAGTAGGTGGCTCCGCGCTTCAAAACCGTGATGGGTCCGCTGGCTGTCCTGCAGGTTTGCCGCGGCTCTCGTGGTGGCCTCCTGGCGTACCGTTTGAGACCGATCTAAGACCGCCGACTCTCCAATCGTTCTCACCGGCCAGACCACGCTCGGATGCAGGTGAGTGTCGCGTCCGCGGCTGTATCCCTGTCCGAAGCCATACGCTGTGAGTGAGAGTGCAGCGTCCGCGGACGTATCCCTGTCCGAAGCGATGGCACTGTGAGTGAGTGCGGCGTCCGCAGCCTTATCCCTGTCCGAAGCGATGGCACTGTGAGTGAGAGTACAGCGTCCGCGGCCGTATCCCTGTCCGAAGCCATGACACTGTGTGTGAGCGTGATGTCCGCGGACGTATCCCTGTTCGAAGCCATGACACTGTGTGTGAGAATACAGCGTCCGCGGACGTATCCCTGTTCGAAGCCATGGTACTGTGTGTGAGAATACAGCGTCCGCGGACGTATCCCTGTTCGAAGCCATGGCACTGTGTGTGAGAATACAGCGTCCGCGGACGTATCCCTGTTCGAAGCCATGGTACTGTGTGTGAGAATACAGCGTCCGCGGACGTATCCCTGTTCGAAGCCATGGTACTGTGTGTGAGAGTACAGCGTCCGCGGACGTATCCCTGTCCGAAGCGATGGCACTGTGAGTGAGAGTACAGCGTCCGCGGCCCTATCCCTGTCCGAAGCCATGGCACTGTACGGGAACCAATCAGCCACACAGATACTGTCTTCCGGCACTCCCTTCCACGTTCGGCTTGGTGTAAATAACGCAGTGCACAACGCATAACACAGTCAGCGCGACAAAAAATCGAGCAGCCTCAGAGAAAATACCGCAGGTGAGGTATGAGACGGCGCATCACAAACCTCCACACCACAGCGCGAACATCGCGTGGCGCGCGGTGGGCGCAAGACATCACATCTCGTACATGAGATGTCGCCTGTGCTGTGTGCGATGTGGCAAAGTGGCACACAGGATATCGGCATCCCATCGCAGGCAACACGACACAAACCGCATACCGCGAATAACACGACGCACGCATGTAACAGAGCAGAGAGATTAACGACATAACTTAGCATTCAGGATCACGAGTAAGATTCTTTCACCAACCTTGGCATAGTCTAAGAAATTTTCCGCTATCTCTGCCTATTTCATGGTACGTTGAATCATGCTGAAGTGATTGCCGCATTTCCATATGGCTCAACGTCACATTGCTGGTCAGTCATAAGTGCTGGTCATGTTGATGGCGCTAACCTAGATTTTGAAATACAGCGACTTTGAGGCTATTTTGGCGACTTGATCGCAATGCCCGTAAAACGACCGCAATAGTTTTCACAAATGTGCCTTTCTTGATCTGTGTTTCAGAGGTTAAATTGACTGCTAAAGCCGTCACCAATCCTTCACAGCCCACCCTGGCCCTCTCTTAAACCCTGCACGGCATCTTCTTACTGTCTGCGGTATCTCATGGGGCTTCAGTCGGTGTCGTGTCGAACCATTCCTGACCCTTCGCTAATGAGTTTAAAGTGTTTTCACGTTGGTGGGCTGCCTTGCAGCTTCGTATCGGAGACGGCCTTTCTCTCCCCGCGGAGTTACGACCGGACTGGGGTCCCAGAGAGAGAGAAAACCAAGTGTTTTTCCCTGCGATGGGCGGATGCGCATTGCGAGACGCCCAAACTTCGGCCCGCGCTGTTCGAGTGGTCTTATTTGGTTTGTTTTTCTTGCCTTGTCTGGAGCTGTCAGCTGACGTCGGCCTGAGGGATCTTCGAATCAGGCGGGCAATGGTGCACCATTCTGCGATACGGCTTTGGTGTTTGCCAAACGCTACTGTTTTTGGACGTTTGCGTGGCGAAATAACCGATTAGACACCCCTGCTATCATAAAATACCTTAAGGGATAATATGCTTCGTCACACGAACAACCTGCCAAATAAAGAAGCAAAGAAACATAAGATTTGTATATACCTTTATTATATATAGTATATATATTAATATAATATATTCATTCGTATAATACGCTTAATATTTGTTTCCATTCTTGGTTCATTGAATTCGCTGTTTAAGGTGTCGAATACATTTCATGCATCATATATCTATCTGTCTGTATATATATGTATATATATACATATTTATACATATATATATATATATATATATATATATATACATATATATACATCGAGGACAAAAATACCGTTCGGAAAGATATTTTTTATAATAACCCCATATCTTGTGAACGTGTAAAGCAGTTCAAAATACAATGCGCTTGCGCAAACCGTGCATCATACGCTGGGAGGCAGGCATGCCGTTTGGCCGCACATAAATCATACCCCGAGCGAGCTCAGTCAACGCATCACCGCGTGAGATCTGTCCGGAAATTTCCTCTCTGTCACAGCTAAGGTGCTTTTTTGTCTGAACTGCACGGTTATGTCCGCTCTGTCACAGCTCAGGTGGGGCATCACCATGCCTGGTCTGTCTGCTCGTGTTCACTTAGCGATCTTAGATGTTTTGCCTCTGTGCCTGACCTGTCCGGCTGCGTTCACGCTGTAATATCGGATGTTTTGCCTCTATGTCTGACCCGTTGGACTGCGTCCACACAGTAATCTCAGGGGTTTTGTCTCCAAGCCTGATTTATTTGGCTATGTCCACCATGTCACAGCTCGTGGACGGTATGTCGTGCCATGGAGTCCAAAGCGGTCCTCGGCTCTGCGGGTGCCGGTAGCCCAGCCGGATGTGTGGCCGATGGGTGGCAGTTCCCGCGTACCCCACCCACCGACCGGCACTGTGGGACAGACAGCGCCAGCCGCTGCTGACACCCGCCCAGTCCCGCCGGCTCCACCCCGCCTCTTCGGTCCCAGACTCCCGGCGGACGAAGCACACCATTGGCATTGCAATCAAGCCGCGAAATGCGACAAATGTGCCTCATCAACGCCGCTCAGGCTGGTGCATTAGCGGGAGAACATCCGTATGGCTCTAGGCCTTCATGTCGTTTGAAGTCGCTGTTAGCTAATTAAGTCTGCACGATGCCAAAGCACACACCACAACGTTCAGCGTCTGTCCTAATGCCGTAACGCCCTGTAGGGTACCGTGAATCGCAGTGGCAACTGCATGTGATCCAAGGAAAAATGTATGCCTGCTGAGTCCGTCCAGTGGCTAAACTCCCGCTGGGTAACGGACGTCATAGATGTTTCGATGGCAAATACGTCATAACGCCCATTCAGCTACGCCGTGGTTCCGTGGCGCGTGCGCTCGCTGTATCTATCTCTTGTGGGGAGAGGCGTAAATGGCAGTGGGTCGGCAGCAGGGCACTATCTACGGCGTTGAAAGTATCGCGAATTCGAGAAGCTGCGGACACTCGGCCTTCGGTGCTCGGCTTGTCAACAGACGTCCATTATAATGTTCACGCCCAACAAAGTAAACTAGGGTTGTTTTGATAACAATAACCCACCGTGTATATTATGTTTGAGGTCTTTTCATCTCATTTTTGGAATTTCTCAAGGTTTTGCGAAGTACCTTCCAATGGTTCATCGACATGCTCTCTGAACAGCACCTCCCAGTGTACCGGAAGTGGATTTTTTTAACACAACGGCTCGTAATTCCGACGAGACAGGAAGTTTTTTAAACCCTTGCTTTAAACCTTTGCTTTTTATAAAGTACAACGACATTACTATAACGAATGGGGCATGGTCCGCCTTCAGATGTTACCTGGAAATAGAATGTGAAGGACATCACTTGCCACATTTCACGCGGAGGTTACGCTCACGTCGCTTTTTGTTTTCATCTGTATTCTAAACTGCGGGATCAAACCTCCTAAAACTTTACACTCTCTTTTGTATCAGTTCCACATAACTGTGAAATCCGAAATCCTGGAATCAGCATCATCATCATCATCATCATCATCATCATCATCAACATAATGTTTTAAGTGAACGTAACTCAGAAAGACGCAAAAGCAAAAGTTCTTTAAAGAAATAAATGCTCCACTGTGACCTCCGCCACGGTACAGCTAGCTCCATTACTCAATGCAGATAAATAGTCAGTCGCCACACGCCTCACCGGGGATACTGCGTCCTTATGGCATGCTGTGGGGGGGGGAGGGGGCGGAGGGGGATCAATGGTAACACTAAGGGTGGATAAAACGTCTAGAATAGAGCAGTATGTTTTGAAAGTGGTGGGCCGGCATCAAACCCTCACCGTTGCTGAAGTCCGCGCCATGCAACACAGGTCGTAGCTAATACGAAGGTATATTGTGTCTGAAATCGGTGTGTTACGTTTGATATAGGCTATTAAACAAATCGTTTCGTTACTGTAAATGCTTCGGCCCCGTAAGCTGAAACCATGTGCTCATCATTGAAGACCTGAAATACCTGAAAAGCCACCTCTTGGATGTTTTTTGAGCAAACAAATGCAAATGCAAATAATTGCAGAGAAGTAGTGGTATCTATTGTAAATGATAAACTAATGAACCACATTAGGATCCTACAATACCCACTAGATTTCAAGGTAATAAACACACTGTTAGAACTCCAAATATCCGGCATCGGGTCCCCATAAAATATTGTCAGCGATGCAGATGCCAGAGTTGCAAAAGTTTTTGTTAGTAATCTGTTTTATTTGCCTCTGACAGAGGTATGGCGAATGGGAGAGGCAGAATGGGTGGCGACCCTTGACTCTTGAAGAATTCAAAGTAACTTTGTGTAATCTGCCTTTGCAGTGCTCATGTTCTTCTTGGTTGTCAACTTTGCAAATTGCTATCAAATGGTACCCTTCTTGTTGATTTCAAAACAACATGTGGTCTGAACCTACAGTTGTATGACAGATGACATGTTTGAGATAAAGGTCAGAAATCAGATACTGACACAACCAGTGTGGTGTCGCTAGTGTAGGCCGGTCAGCTGATAGCCTGCCTTCAATCCAATTTATACAAGCCTACCGCCGTTATTTTAGGTGTTAAGGCACGTATTTTCGGATCTTGTTGCTAAAATGCTGTCATGGAAGCTTGCGTTCACCTGTTTTTATGACAATGACCAGTGAGAAGGGACTTGTACGCCGCTGCAATGTGAAACAAATAAACACATATTTCAGTAGCTTTGGAGTCATGGTGAAGCAGGAATTTTCCATGTTTGTTAA